GCTAGTGCTAACATAATTCTTGTATTTATTACGATAGCTCTCGCATACCATCAAATTAGTTGTGTGCACCACGAACAGTATTACAATAAATATAAGAGCACTACTACCATCGGACAATGTCAGGCCAAGACACAACCCACGTAGCGTACTGTAGAAGACGCGAACGGACGTATGTAAGTCCGAACTAGCGCGATAGGTTACAGTTTACCCGACACAATATCAGGTGCACGAATCAGGATTTATTCACTCCGACGCTATTTATGACCATTTCTTCCTTAACCGCAACGAGAAACTTGATATTATATCGCCGGATATATTATTATGATCCTCGAAGTGGAATATTCGTTTTGCGATTTGCTACGCATCTCATTATTTTCCACAGACGTACAGATTTGTGGCACGGTACTTCGTCTTTAGATAAATTGGAGAAGGAAGACGTAAGGATGCTATAGAATCCTATTAAATGCATAATATTGTTCATTATTCGCAGCTTTGTACGCAAAGCCACTTTTGTGATAACCTGGTAGCAAAATGCATCTAGAAATTATTATTTTTTTATCTCCATAAAGTCGAAAAAATTTTGAAAAATTAATTTGAATGCATTCCTTCTTCAAATAAGTATTTTATATAGGGTTGTTCGGAAAGTCATTTCGTTTTTTCCCGACAGAGGATTTAATTGTATTCTTTTGCACCCAACTTCACATTTAAGCCGTATAATTTTTATATGCTTTGAGAGCTCATATAGCAAGGCTTGTGTGTGAAAAATTCCAATTAATTCTACGCAGTAGTTTTTGGTTGGTGCCCTTTTAAATATGGAGAGCGATAAGCAGCATTTTCGACATATCTTACTGTTTTACTACAGAAAGGGTAAAAATGCTGTTCAAGCCAGAAAGAAATTGACTGATGTGTATGGAGAAGGTGTGTTGACAGTACGCCAGTGCCAGAACTGGTTCGCTAAATTTCGATCCGGCAATTTTGATGTCGAAGATGCACCACGTTCGGGAAGGCCGGTTGAAGCTGATAAAGACGCGATAAAGGCATTAGTTGATGTGAACCGGCGAATAACAACACGTGAGATCGGATTGAGGTTAAATTTATCAAATTCAACAGTTTATGACCACTTGAAAGGCCTGGGATTATCCTCGAAGCTCGATGTATGGGTTCCCCATGTTCTCACAGAGAGAAATCTGTGTCGCCGCATTGACGTCTGCGATTCGCTTCTCAAACGTCACGAAAATGATCCGTTTTTGAAGCGCATCATCACTGGGGACGAAAAATGGGTTGTATACAACAACGTCAAACGCAAGAGGTCATGGAGCAAAAAAGATGAACCGGCTCAAACCATTTCCAAAGCCGATATTCACCAAAAAACTGTGATGCTGTCTGTTTGGTAGGATTTTAAAGGAATCGTTTTTTTTGAGCTTTTACCGGATAACACAACGATTAATTCGGAAGTCTACTGTCATCAGCTGGACAAACTGAATGATGCACTTCAACAGAAAAAGTCAGAACTAATCAACAGGAAAGGTGTAGTGTTTCACCAAGACATCGCGAGACCTCACACAAGTTTGGTCACTCGCCAAAAGCTTTTACATTTTGAATGGGATACAATGCCACACCCACCATATTCTCTAGACCTGGCACCATCGGATTATTATTTGTTTGAGATTTCGAGTAATGGAGGTTTTGGAGTTTGAAAAGAAGGGAACAAAACATTTTATTTGAGTTTTGGAGGTTTCTAACTTATCGAGGTTCGACTTAAAGAGGTTCTACTGTATTTGGTTTTGGTATTATTAAATTTCGTGCTCTTTTGCTTTAGTTTTAATTTTTCGAATATATACTTATTCAGTTGAATTGCCTGATTTTGCAGATAACACTTCAATTTCACTTATGAAGATATATCAAGGACTACCAAGAAAGGAGTAAAGCACTAAGACCAAAAATCAAGAGTGCATTTTCACCTGAAGAATGTCGAATCTGTCTCAAAATATTTTTATAGAGACCACCTCTGGGGGCATCCATCCGGTTTTTTGATGGACGGCTTCCCCATCGGACATTTAACTTCTTTTGAATCCGTGACACACGATATGACATGTTAATTTGAATACGCGCAAAAGAACGTACCGACTGGGAGTGACTGACGACTGACTGACTCACAGCGAAGAAAATGAAGAAGAGGAAGATTTCCAGTGCTTACTTGGACGGATAGGTAGGTAGGTAGGTATGTATATAAACGGAAGAATGTCACGGCTAAGAGAACAATACAGCCGACAAACGTTCTACATCCATCTGATATTATGGTAGGTATGTAACAAAAAGAAGAAGATGGCACACCGTGGAGAGAGAAGCCAATGGATGAAGAACGGATCGGCAACTTTAAAACACTCTGCCATTGTTTGATGAATGAGGTAGTACACGTTGGTACCCACGTCGAGTCCGGTCATCAAACGGTGGGAAGAATTTTTTTTTCGAATATGAAACTAATACCATGATAAATTTGCTAAAGAAAGGTATCTCAGTTCTGTTGGTATTTATCAAACGAGTGAATAATAAACTTATATTTCAATATTAAAGCACAACTCTGGGTTAATAAGCTGAGTCAAAGCCGCGATTTGATATAGTATGTGAATGACAAAAATTAATACCAACATTTAACAAACAAGATCGAAATAAAAGAGCAACGCTTTCACGGCCGGCCTTACCTGAATAATGCATATTCGGACTTGATGGCCGTGATTTGGGATTATTACGCTGCGGTGAGATTACCAGTTGACTTGTTTTGTCAATTATTGCGGTTGGCATCCTCAGGGAACGCACTTAAAACGTAAAGTCCGTCGCTGACTAACAATCTCAGTGCAGTCATTCAAAATAAAATTAACGCCAATAGTAGGTATACAAAACTGAAATAAATATAGTCAGGTATCAAGTCTGATTGTGCAATAAAGATCGAAATTTAAAAGAAAAAATTCAAATCAATACTAACTTTCGACTAAGACTTACCATGCAAAATTGCAATCAATATTAACAATTGACTGACAAAATTGCTATCAAGATAATCATTAAATATTCAAGATTTAAATTTCATAGATAAAACTGAAATTATAATTAATATTTCAATAATAAAACCGAGTTTAAGGTTAGATATCTCAGGATAGGGTAGAAATCAACGGTAAAAGTGGAGATTTTAGGAAAACATAACTATTGTTATAATAAAATGGGCGTTACCCACAAATAACCACCAGTATAGCATCACTACATAGTATAAAATAAAGTCGCTTCCCGCTGTCTGTCCCTTTGTAATGTGATGTCGTAAATAAACACATTTTTTGCGCTTACATTGCAAACGCTGGCTGAACCGTACGAGATGGATCAAAATAATATACTACATTATTGTACATCTTAAAAAGGTCTACAAAAAAGTCAGGGATAGTATATGTCTATCTCTTAGGGATAACTCACAATAACCATTTTTATCCTTTACTTTTTATGAAAAATAATGACTTATTTACGAAGCCATTTTAAGCAATACAGCATTAATCCTTATCCAATTAAGTACTTTTAAATACATTGTGCATTTAATATAGATCAATATGGCCCTTTGCAGCATGTAATTTAAATTAATATTTTCGAAGATATTACAGATTTAAGTTGTTTGCCGGTTTGTATTTTCTGATGACAAAAAAGCTGTGAATGTTGTAAATAAAGATATTCTGTAGTTTATTTAGTATCAGCATTGCACCCGTACGAAGCTGGGGTGGGTCACTAGTATGTTATAAATCAAGTAAATGGTGGATGTGGACTCATCGGAGATGAAAGGAGTAAACTACCTCCACCTAATGAAGCTCATTAATTTGATGAAGAACAGCATTCGAAGTGGTTTTACATTTCGAAATTACATTTACAAATGTAGGTAATAGCGATTTCTTGAAATTGCACTATAATTTAGACGGAGGCTGTGCAAACTAATTAATTACGTATTTCTTGCAATTAACTCATATCGGGGCGGGCTGAAGTCATAAAAATTTACATACATAATGGCATCTTATACGAAAGGTTTACGCGTTATTAAAAGCGTTATTTGTGGAATTAAAAAAGTTATCGAGATATTTTAATGAAGATGTCAATTAGTCCTTATCTGTTTGTTATATAAAATGACATTCTATTAACTAAAAAGTCATATGGGACATCCCTGATGTTTGCTTTATACTCTGCTATATGTATACATACACCGAAATCCGTTTATAACGAATCCCTTTATAGCGTCGGTCCATATATAGCAATCTTTGTAGCGACAAATGCGGTTTTAGCATCATGTATTGGACATTTGAATTTTTAAAACCGGATATAACAACCCCGGCGGTTAATACAGGTTTTTGTATTTTGTTAGTCTAATTTTCGATACAAAATTGTAAACAGGTACTTACCAGCTTATTGACTGAAAGTTTTCATATTAATCAAAAGATTTTACCACAGAGGACATAATCTGGTATCTAGCACGTTCGTAAGCTATTATATTCGAAGAACGGAGTCTGAATTTACATTTAGCTTTAGTTTTGTTTCCTTTTTTTATCGTTTAGTTATTGGGTTATTGCTTTCGAAGCTGGCTGCATAGTTAAATCAACTTTTAGATATTTGTTTCTGTTTTATATGAATATACTTATAACATACGTTTTTATAGTGTTTCCCGGCTCTTCTCTGATACCATATATAAACTTCACGTATGTATATGAATACTTTTACTAAATAAATTATTTAGACGAGGAAACCAGAATTACTGTTACAGTAAATATCAACGTTTTGTAATCAACTCACAAAACATTAATTAGTGACGTTTTGATTTATTTTTGTTTAGTTTTGGAAACTGTAGATTGAGCATTCTGTACCCTCATCTTGAACCCTATTTTGGGATCTTGTAACGGAAGTGCTTTAAAATGAATGAATCGTGTAGTAGTTTCTGACCGTAAATGTTACTAAAATTAGCTTCAAAAATTATTACTTACTCGTCTGTTCCATCATAGTGTCCGAAGTTGTTAAATTCTCTTATGGGAGTGAAGGTTTTCTGCGAAATATTTTCATTGTTCTTCGGTAGTTCCTTCAGGTAATCCGACACTTTAAGGACACTTCTCTCTTGTGATGAACTATTCGAAGAAACGCAGAAATCCACATGATTATTGTCATCCACTAGATCTCTAAGCAACGAGTTTTCGTACACTCTTTCTGGCAAAATATCTTCAGTTTTTTTGTACTTCCGGTCAATTTTGATACTGTCCTGTTGCTGTTTCTTCTTCCCGTACAATTGTCTGTAGTATTTCTCCTGGTCTCCATACATCCAGCACACTTTCCACCACTGCTTGCACATAAGGACGTTGGCTGAAGAACTGACGTTGTCATGTTTGACCACCTTGTTGGACATGTTTACTTTTTTGCTTGGTTTGGACGACTTCTTCAGATTCCGGTTGTGATATAGACAGAATACGCGCGCGACCTTTCCGAGGTCAATTTTCAAAACTATCCCCTAGCGACCTGTTAAACCAGATAATAAATTCTCAAGTAATGAACTAACGACTGGAACGGACATGTTACACGAGGGAATAATGGAATTATTATTCACAGAAAATTACTTAAAGTGGCACCTTTATTTAATTTTAAGTGCGGTGGGAAAATTTTTAAGTCTCCTTATAAAATATTAATGGCACCTGTTCATAAAAATTATTCATCACGAGAGTGGTTACGCGCAAAATCTTTTATGAATGCACAGTTTAATACAATTCGGACTGAATATTAATAATAACCACCTTTAATTAATAATATAAATACAGTTAATGACTGACTTGTAAACAATGCGCTCAGCAGTATGTAAAATTAAAGATGTTAGATTTTATCGCGATTTCCGATAGTAAAAATCAGTTTATTGACAACAGAATTAATGCACATTTGAATATGACAGAAAATAATACGTAACGTGCTGATATGCTAATGAACTAATGTTGAATAAAAATTAGTGCAGCTATCTCATCTGATGATATAAGATTATGACATTAGCTGACTATTAAAACATTGACTAAAAGATGGAACCACGACTCAGGCTTACACACATTCAATATTCACTATGTTGTTGTTTAATCTGATTCTAAATGTTTAATTAAAAATCGCTAATTTCGACAAGCTGGGAGTGTTCATATATCAAAATTTGGTCATATATATAACATATACGGTATTAATTCTGTCTGATTTGTCAGTAGATCTGTTGATTTCAATTACGTGATTACAATATGGTTAATGGCATAGTGATTGATTTGTGTGCTTCTCTGATTAGCATATTTGAAGTGCTACGCGACATGGATGAAATACTATGCACCAGGAGTTTAGGTGAGGTTGTGAGGGAAAGTTTTCCCTGGTTACCATTTCCAACGTTTTGTGCACCAGGGACAGGATGTGTAGAGTGCTACTAATAAATAATCATCGCACGTGCAACTGACTTGTCTATGTACTAGCTGTTGCGAAGGTCACGAGTAAGTACGAGTACTAACTCACTTAACGCTTGCAATAACGAAAGGCGATAAGGTAAGACGGCTGCCAAACTGGCAACTATTCTGAATAATTGACGGTTCGTTAACTGGGGTACTTTGTGCATACTTTTTACACCCACTGTACAGTACCTCCAGATGTTACCTTTCAAATATTCCGGAATTCTGATAAAACAGACTTTTTTATTTTACCACGATTGTTTTCCAGATATTTATACACTCTCCTTAATACGTATTTGTGATTACTAACAGCTAACAACGTCTTTAAAAACTGTTTTATATGTAAGTATATTTAATAAGAGTAGGTTGCAAACAAGTTTGTTCTTATTTTCTGCAATGGTTGGATAAATATGGAATACCTTTGAACACTGTTCACATATAATTAATATTTTACAGACATTTTCGTCAGATATAACTTTTCTTCACATCAATTTTTGTTTCATAATTACTATGTGTATAACTTATACTATATTGAATTCTATTGTATTTCGAAAGTGTTTCGTTAACAATAGTTCCTGAGAGAGAAAATTATAATTTCTATTCTAAGAACTTCGTTATGGTTCAATGAAAATGGGGCCAGAGCCAACAAATAACAGGCTATCTCGTACCAAATGGTACATATACACTTGGATAGATGTATATTCTCAAATTGGATAAATGGAGAATCGTATCTCCTATAAGACAGTAGGAAAAGTGATTTCTGAGTTAAAGGAAGCGGTATCAATTTATCATATTTATAGGAAACGTTGTACCTACAGTCAATTGGAAGTAACACGTGGACGTGGACAGAGTTTAGTTGGTTAACATTGCACAAACTTGCATACATACATGTGTTACGTACTACACATCTATGTAGTGTGTAAATACATATGAAAAGCTGGTCGATCTTTGCGATACAATCGAGAAAGGAATTTGCAGTCGCTTAATGCCAGAGAAATCGAATGCTCGCATTAAAATTCCTGCTAATTGTAACATTGTTTTAATTGGGTTATACATTTATAACTTAAAGTAACTTTTAACATAGTTAGCTAGGAAGTATACGATTTCTGTTCTCAATCGATTTCGAAATCGACTTCGATGTTATTTATTGATTCGTTCGATTTAAATAGTTTACAGTTATTACATATGGTTTGTTAACAAACATCATTAAATTCCCGTTTTGTCGCTTATTAGGATGTAATAGAATGAAAATCGCTTGTAATCACTCCGCATATAATGACAATCAGTTCAACCTGTATTGTTGTACGTGGAACAGGGGATGCAGATAGCATAAGGGGTTTCTCAGCAGCGATTTGTCTGATCTTTGGCATCCGTCAAAAGCTATCTTACGCCTTCTACAATACTTATTTCTCTATGCTTGTGGCAATACAGAAAAGGACGAGCAGTCGTTCATTGCGCAGCGACCCATGCATTTTAGAAAATACTACAAATGGCGCAGTAAACACCATCTGTAGCACGATGCTACATTTTAGGATTAACGTATGCTCCAACAAGGTCCACTTTTGTGGATATCTACTTCCTGAAAACGAATCCTGGCGTAGCCAACCTCAACGTGATAGGCACGTTAGCTTAATCGAATAAAATAATTCGAAATGGTCTGTATTCTGACGAAACTGCCAGACGCGGATCGCGATTTCGATCTTTTTGGATCTCATCATCGCGTCGCAGACAGCTCCGACAGAACACAGACCAACTTTTACCTGCTGTCTTAACAGTGCGTTTTAGAAAATACGACAAATGGTGCAGTAAACGCCATCTGTAGCACGATGCTACATTTTAGGATTACGTATTCTCCATGCATTTTCCATGAGTAATTTACTTCAAAAAATTTTTGACGGTCCAGTTTTTGACCTTTCGCAGTCCGGACCTGGACAGCGCTTTGCCAGTTGCCGACCATTGGTTTATATGAAGCTACACATAAATATTATTATGTATATACCGGCTAAATAAATATGTAAATAGAAGACTGCCATGTATCGGGTGTACATAAGTACACACAGTTTTCTTTTAAATGTGACAAAAAGTAACATTCTGACGCCTTTTTAATTCAAACAAGAAACGCACAAAACCGCATTAATTAACATATTATCATATCGAGATTTTATACTTCATTATTCAGTTGCTAAAGGCAGATGGCGAGAAACAGCGTAGAAACGAAGCGTTATTTAAACTACGTATCAAGTTATTACTGACTATTCAATATGTTCTGTTTAACTGTAAGTTATAACAAAAAACTAACATGTACTAGTCAAGGCTATAAAAATAGATGGCAAAATAAACTTTATTGCACCTAATTATAATTTTTAGAGTTGAGATTTTATTAAAAAAAAACTCTTTTTTATTATTAGGAATATCACCTCAATACATATTGTGGTCAGTTTTTAGGCATAAAATGAATATTTTTTTATTTTTTCAACATAAAATGGCATATGTTCTACTCATTCATAAGTTTATAACAGTTTTCACTGAGGTTTTCGCCACTGACAAGGTGGCAAGTAAAAATCTTAAGTGTTAGTGCTAGGTATTGCACTTTGTTTTACCAAGAATTTATATATTTCATGTGAGGATGCTTTCTTTACAAAAGAACTTTTATTTGGGGCAGTTTAGGCAATAGATCTTTCACGTTACCCAGACCCTCATTTGTTTACGGTAAGGGTTAGTTTTTAGGTGTACGATACCTACCATCTAAAAATAAATTAACAACCGAATTAGTCAAATAGCAAGGTATCGTACCAGAAAAGCTGTACTATTAGCTACCTATTGCAGTTAAAAACCTGTAAAAGATAAAATTAAAACTAAAATGTAGATACCTAGAATTTTAATGTGAATTTCCTAATATTAGGTATTGATCCTAATCATAGACATTGTGAAATTAGTTACACTTAAAACGGTTGTTTACAAACGTTCAGGTATTATAAAGACCATATTGGTAAGTCTTGTTATTCTAGCGAAAATCCTTGACTTCCTTGCACTCTAAGACCGGCACAAATTGCTTTTTATTTTGTAAGAATTGCCCATAAAGAGAATTTAATGCAATGATTATGAGATTCACTAGATTATTCTGTCGTACCGCATAATTATACGTGGTGCCGTTCAAGAAGGATGGCCTGTAATTTTAAGTGCAATTAAGTGGAATTTTATGGGAGCAATTTACTTTAAACAAAAAAAAATAAATAAAGAGAAAGGAACTAGGCGACTATCACGATAATAAATATTCATATATGTAATTGGTTTTGCAACAAATTAAACTATTATTTATACAAACTAATGGATAATTATTTTCAATATCTAATTGTACGTACAACGTAAGATTCTTATTCTTAGTACAGTTTCTGTCAATAACGTAACTATACCATTTGAGGCCCGTGAAAAACGATTTTTAACGTTTTTAAAAGGAACATTTGGGCATTGTAGTCTTATGGAAACTCATCTTTCGTCATTGTTAGTAATATTTTTTTTTACGACAAAATTAATGTCATTTTTCGATTGTATTTTTTTAAAAGCATTTTTGTGTAATACGAAATAAAAAAGAAAAATAAGTTGTCAAAGTTGAATATTGACACACATCTAGGAACCTCGTATCAGGTTATACGAGGGTGGATTGATAAGTTTCCGGCCTAACCAAGAGATGACGCCACTAGGCCTACCTTGAGGTGACATTCTATAGTACCATCCTTGGATAGCTTGTAGCTATAGTTTCAGCCCGATCTCCTTGCTAGTGTAGGTTTGACAGCACGCTGAACAAGACGCCTCTGTGGTTTTCGTAAAAATGGAAAAGCAGGAAAATCGTGCTGTCATCAAATACTTTTATTTGAAGGGGTTAACGCCGAAGGAAATTAAAAAAGAGATGGACTCAACACTGGGGACATCCTCCCCGTCATATTCAACCGTTAAGCAGTGGGTTTCCGAGTTTAAAAAGGGTCGTGTGAGCACCTCTGATGGGCCTCGCTCAGGACGCCCCGTTGAGGTCACAACTCCAGATATGATCGAAAAAAT